GCCTGCAAAAAAAATACATTTACGCACTGAAAAAATGAGCGTGGACCAGAATGAGGCGCTCTCCTCTCTATATATAGTTCCTGCATTGAGGAATACCATCTTCAGAGAATGTTGTGATAATTTATCTGCAGATAATCGATGACTGGAGCTCAAAAAGCAACAGTGACAGTAAACAAACCATGGAGCCAAATTAAAGTTTCTTTCACATTCTTTATTTTGACAGGAAGTCAGTGCTGAGACAGGTCTCTTTTCCAGGGGAGCCCCGTATACCACCAAACTACACATTCATATACACATTAAAATAAACGTAATTATACACTACAATACATGAAAAACAAAACACAATCATAAAAAAATAATAAAAAATACATTATTCAGTAACAAGGTCAAATACCCCAGAAACAGCAATTCCTCAAACGTTAAAGGACATTGTAGATCATTCCAAACGCAAGGCGCAAGGAAACCAAAGGCTGATTTAGCTAATTCTCTAGACACCAAAGGAGTCTCCAGAGTTAACCAGCCCTGTGAACGGGTTTGGTACCTTGCGATTTAAGAGTAGAGGAAGCTGCACTTTGATAAAACAGTACCACCATAATCAAGAACAGCTAGAAAGGCTGACTGCAAAATATGCGATTCGGTTTCTGACCTTCACAAAAAGGAGCTGTTAACTATTGTGCTTAAACTCCGGTTGTAACTGAATTTATAAAACGATGCCACTCGCGCAATTAAGAAATAAATAAGGAGTAAAGAAATAAAGTGGTGGAAAAAGTATCCAAACATCATACTTGAGTAAAAGTAAAGATACTTTAATAGAAAATGACTCAAGTAAAAGTGACCCAGTAAAATACTACTTCAGTAAATGTCTGAAAGTATTTGGTTTTAAATATACTGAAGTATCAAAAGTAAAAGTATTAATGTAATGCGTACTTGTGTGTGGCAGTCGAAATGTATGGAGTAAAAAGTACATTATTTTCTTTAGGAATGTGGTGAAGTAAAAGTAGTCTAAAATATAAATAGTAAAGTACTACTTAAGTAGTACTTTAAATTATTTTTACCGAAGTACTTTACACCACTGGAATTATAAATGGAAGAAAATACATAGACTATTGTTCTATAGAGTGTTCTGATTTTGTTTCAATAATATTACATGTCAAAAATAGTAGCACTGGAAAGTTCCATCCTGAGTGATAAATTAGAAGCTTCGAATGACTTTACCAGCAGCTACAGTAAGCTACACACTGCTGTCTGAGTTAAAGCTGCTGTGGTGACTTTACCAGCAGCTACAGTAAGCTACACACTGCTGTCTGAGTTAAAGCTGCTGTGGTGACTTTACCAGCAGCTACAGTAAGCTACACACTGCTGTCTGAGTTAAAGCTGCTGTGGTGACTTTACCAGCAGCTACAGTAAGCTACACACTGCTGTCTGAGTTAAAGCTGCTGTGGTGACTTTACCAGCAGCTACAGTAAGCTACACACTGCTGTCTGAGTTAAAGCTGCTGTGGTGACTTTACCAGCAGCTACAGTAAGCTACACACTGCTGTCTGAGTTAAAGCTGCTGTGGTGACTTTACCAGCAGCTACAGTAAGCTACACACTGCTGTCTGAGTTAAAGCTGCTGTGGTGACTTTACCAGCAGCTACAGTAAGCTACACACTGCTGTCTGAGTTAAAGCTGCTGTGGTGACTTTACCAGCAGCTACAGTAAGCTACACACTGCTGTCTGAGTTAAAGCAGCTGTGGTGACTTTACCAGCAGCTACAGTAAGCTACACACTGCTGTCTGAGTTAAAGCTGCTGTGGTGACTTTACCAGCAGCTACAGTAAGCTACACACTGCTGTCTGAGTTAAAGCTGCTGTGGTGACTTTACCAGCAGCTACAGTAAGCTACACACTGCTGTCTGAGTTAAAGCTGCTGTGGTGACTTTACCAGCAGCTACAGTAAGCTACACACTGCTGTCTGAGTTAAAGCAGCTGTGGTGACTTTACCAGCAGCTACAGTAAGCTACACACTGCTGTCTGAGTTAAAGCTGCTGTGGTGACTTTACCAGCAGCTACAGTAAGCTACACACTGCTGTCTGAGTTAAAGCTGCTGTGGTGACTTTACCAGCAGCTACAGTAAGCTACACACTGCTGTCTGAGTTAAAGCTGCTGTGGTGACTTTACCAGCAGCTACAGTAAGCTACACACTGCTGTCTGAGTTAAAGCTGCTGTGGTGACTTTACCAGCAGCTACAGTAAGCTACACACTGCTGTCTGAGTTAAAGCTGCTGTGGTGACTTTACCAGCAGCTACAGTAAGCTACACACTGCTGTCTGAGTTAAAGCTGCTGTGGTGACTTTACCAGCAGCTACAGTAAGCTACACACTGCTGTCTGAGTTAAAGCTGCTGTGGTGACTTTACCAGCAGCTACAGTAAGCTACACACTGCTGTCTGAGTTAAAGCTGCTGTGGTGACTTTACCAGCAGCTACAGTAAGCTACACACTGCTGTCTGAGTTAAAGCTGCTGTGGTGCGCATTATCCACTTGAATTCCCTGAACATCAACAATCATGCATGTCAGTGCATACAGCATAACAGAGTAAATATAATCTACCTTAAATATGTATTCAGACCCCTTGACTTTTTCCACATTTTGTTACGTTACAGCCTTATTCTAAAATTGATTAAATCGTTTTTTTTTCAACATTATCAATCCACACACAAAATGTTAGCAAATGTACTAAACATTTAAAAAAATGACAGCGATTACAGCCTCGAGTCTTCTTGGGTATGACGCTACAAGCTTGGCACACCTGTATTTGGGAAGTTTCTCCCATTCTTCTCTGCAGAACCTCTCAAGCTCTGTCAGGTTGGATGGGGACCGTCGCTGTACAGCTATTTTCAGATCTTTCCAGAGATGTTCAATCGGGTTCAGGTCCGGGCTCTGACTGGGCCACTCAAGGACATTCAGAGACTTGTCCTGAAGCCAATCCTGCGTTGTCTTGGCTGTGTGTGTAGGGTCGTTGTCCTGTTGGTAGGTGAACCTTTGCCCGTCAGAGGTCCTGAGGGCTCTGGAGCAGGTTTTCATCAAGGATCTCTGTGTACTTTGCTCTGTTCATCTTTCCCTCGATCCTGACTAGTCTCCCAGTCGCTGAAAAACATCTCCACAGCATGATGCTGCCACCACCATGCTTCACCGTTAGGATGGTGCCTGGTTTCCACCAGACGTGACGCTTGGCATTCAGGCCAAAGAGTTACATCTTGGTTTCATCAGACCAGAGAATCTTGTTTCTCATGGTCTGAGTCCTTTAGGTGCCTTTTGGAAAACTCCAAGCGGGCTGTCATGTGCCTTTTACTGAGAAGTGGCTTCCGTCTGGCCACTCTACCATAAAGGCCTGATTGGTGGAGTCCAGCAGAGATGGTTGTCCTTCTGGAAGGTTCTCCCATCTCCACAGAGAAACTCTGGCGCTCTGTCAGTGTGACCATCGGGTTCTTGGTCACCTCCCTGACCAAGGCCCTTCTCCCAGATTGCTCAGTTTGGCTTGGCGGCCAGATCTAGGAAGAGTCTTGGTGGTTCCAAACTTCTTCCATTTAAGAATGATGGAGGCCACTGTGTTCTTGGGGACCTTCAATGCTGCAGACATTTTTTGGTACCCTTCCCCAGATCTGGGTCTGAATACTTATGTAAATAAGGTATTTTAGTTTTTATTTTTAATACATTTGCTAAAGATTCTAAAAACCTGTTTTCGCTTCGCCAATATGGGGTATTGTGTGTAGATTGAGGATTTGTATTTATTTAATCCATTTTAGAATAAGGCTGTAATGTACCAAAATGTGGAAAAAGGGAAGGGGTGTGAATACTTTCCGAAGGCACTGTATCTAAACCGGCACCTCTATCAGAGTCCTCCACCAGTTGGTGGCGCTCTTTTTCACGCTGATTTTCAAAACGACTTCTCCGGAAATCCGTTGCAGTGACAGAGACTCTAGGGAGTGTATCCACCATCTCTTCATGGGAACTCAAACACTACAGACCCGTTGTCCTCACGTCTCCCGTCTCCTCCGAAAGGTCCAAAATCATTACTCTCTAACCCAGTCAATGGAGGCTGGTGGGAGGAGCTATAGGAGGACAGGCTCATTGTAATGGCTGAAATGGAATCAATGGAACTGAGTCAAACATGTGGTTTCCATATGTTAGATACTGTTCCATTGTTTCCCAAAATAAAAATGTGCACCCCTTTGGGTCCCCAGGACCAAGATTGAGAAACACTAACCCTCACCAACTCAACCCAACTGCAGATTACAGGCTAATCTACCTTTAAGGCAAAGTTACAGGATAGAGGAGCACCTGGTGATTTTGGCAGGGAAGTTACAATGCCCCTCTTTGGCACAGTGAGAGGTCATCGTGACCCCAGAGACAAATCTTAGCACCTGAGAAGACCCTGATCAGAATATCCCTTCAGCAACTCCCTACGCGTGACCTCTGCCGCGACCCCGGCAATTCAAAACAGTCTCCCTCTTTCCAACTCAGCCAGGCTTTGATTGCTTCTGTACGCAATAACTGGTGCTTTTACTATTAAAGTGCATTGTCCCTGTCAAATAAATGAATAAATCAGCACATATTACTGACTACCTAAGCGACACCAAAGATGGCGGATACAACAACAAATGCTGACGACATAGTGCTATATATGGAGCGGTAGGTAGACTAGTGGTTAAGCGCATGGGGCCAGTAACCAAAAGGTTGCTGGTTCCAATCCCTGAGCCAACTGGGTGAAAAATCTGTCGGTGCCCTTGAGCAAGGCACTTAACCCTAGTCGCTCTGGATATGAGCTTCTGCTAAATGACTAACATGTAAATATAGCAATGCATAGTCCTATATAGTCATAGGCAAGCATGGTCCTTGGTAGCGCATGTAACTCCAGGATAGTGGGTTTGATTCCTGGGACTGTCCATACATGTCTGCTAAATGGCATATAACACTATTATTATAAATTAGATCATTTCACATCTTTTACAATCTTTTAAACCTATGGCAGACTGGGTTCACCGGCCTCATCTTCCTCATTCTTCGTCGTCTCCTTGTTCTTCGTCATTAAGGGTTCTGCATTACTGACGTCCAAGGTTCCTGTTTAAATGGATGAGAGACAGGACTAGAACAGAACCGTCTAACACGTCACATGAACACAGTCAACTAAGTATGTGTTTCACATCCCTGGACTGGTGAAATCTACTATGTAGTCAAGTCCTCTGTTCAACCTCTTGACCATGTAGACCAGTGGTCACCAACCTTTTCTGAGTCAAGATCACTTTGAGTGAAAAAGCAGGCCGAGATCTACCCCTCAGATTCTCTTTTAAACATGACTGAAAAAACATAAGCAACATTAACCAATTAAAAACTGTTCTGTAGCAATGAGGTTTGTGCAGTAGGCTAGAAGTCCAATACATTATCACTGCATATTGGCTATGCTTGGATTTCCCTGCCAATCTTGTTCTTTTCAGACCACTTAGAAATTATATTTTATAAAATGTGTTATATGATCACACTGGTAATAGATCATGTGTTGTATTATTTGTGAGGCACAGCTAAGTGAGAATAATAATTAGCTTTTATTTTTACTGAACTGATGACCTTCATCTGATGGTCAGTCTGAGGGGAGGGAGAGAGCAGTGGTGAGGCTGACTGATGACCTGTATCTGATGGTCAGTCTGAGGGGAGGGAGAGAGCAGTGGTGAGGCTGACTGATGACCTGTATCTGATGGTCCGTCTGAGGGGAGGGAGAGAGCAGTGGTGAGGCTGACTGATGACCTGCATCTGATGGTCAGTCTGTATTATACATGAAATGACTTAAACAACAGGACATTTTTTACCGATAGTGCCTTCTTTCAAATATCCAAAACAGACCCTCACCTGGAATATGAACCCGTCTCTCCTTCATGTGTTTGATCTCCGGCTGTTGAACCCGACAGGTGAACGTGTTGTTGTCCGTTTTCGGGACGATGACATGGCTTGTCACAGTGTAGCAGCCTTCACGGTCTCTGGATGTCTCTGGAGGTCCAGCAGCAGGGAGGACACGTCCATGAACGTCACACCACTCCATGACAGGCTCTGGGTAGCAGCCTTCAGCCTCACAGCGCAGGACCACCTCATCACCTTTGATTCCTTCAATGGAGATTACTGATCGAGACGCTGCACCTATAGAGATACAGAGATATACCACGGCTCTCAGCCAATCAGCATTCAGGGCTCAAACCACCTTGTTTATAATGTTATACCACGGGTATGACAATAAAATAATTACGTTGGTAACCAGTTTATAATAGCAATAAGGCAACTCAGGGTTTGTGGTATGTGGTCAATATCCCACGGCTAATGGCTATATCCAGGTTGCGTCGTGCATAAGAACAGACCTTAGCCGTGGTATATTGGCCATATGACACACCCCCTCGTGACTTATTGCTTAAATATAACAAGGGTTTGCTAATACTTATGGACCTTACAATTCAAAAAGTAACTTCCAATGACTCACAGCATTGTACATTGAATTAGCTGGGGTTATCACACTATTAAGGTTAGCATGTAGGCTAACCAATCTATCTAACTAATACTCATCAGGCAATGGACTTGACATTGAACTCACCCTTGATTTCATGTGATCTGTCTCTTAAGGGGGATTGGGTGGTCAGCAGGTGTGTTGACTCACCAACAATGAGTTGAATGGTGGTTTTCTGGTGGTCCAGCAGTGGAATGTAGCTGGTATAGTTTCCAGCATCAGAGAGTTTCACTCTGGTCAGCTTTAAACTAGCGTTGCCTTCCACTAGTTCTTCTTTAAACAGTGACGTCCTTCCCCTGAATGATGGATTCTGGAGCGCAAGGTCGTCCTTCTCATCTCTGTAAAGATGCACCTCTTTTGGTTTTAGGTCAGGTCTCTGCCATTCTACTGTCTGATACACAGCGCTAACGGTGGGTCTCAGGGTGCAAGGCAGGATGACGTCGTCGCCAACTAAGGCCACAATGGGCTCAGCAGAACCAGCAACCTGAACTGTCCCTGAGAGAAACAGATTACAGAGTGATATACTTTGAGACAAAGCAAGATACAGGCCTACTGAATGTTGAGCAGGTTGAAAGTGACTCCCACAACAGCTAAGGCAGTTTGAACCAGGAAATGGTCAATGAACACTGACTAGCATTAGACTAAGCAAGATATAATGTTGAGCAGGTTGACAGTGACTCCCATTCTAAAACCATCTCATTAATAGTAGGGATCAGTTAGAATAATCGGTTTATCGATTAGTTGATCGAGGGTGTTTGAATCAATCACAGATACGGAAAAGGCTGCATTTCCCACAGACAGCTGATCTCTCTTTAGTGAGAGCTTTATACAAGGGAACCTCAGGAGCCACGTTTTAAAGGTCCAATGCAGACGTTTTTAGCTCGTTATCAAATCATTTCTGGGTAACAATTAAGTACCTTACTGTGATTGTTTTCACTTAAAATGGTCAAAAATAAACAAAAATAGAATCTTAGCAAAGAGCAATTTCTCAAGCAAGAATGTATCTAGGACTGTCTGGGAGTGGTCTGAGTGGGGAGGGGGAAACTGAAAACTAGCTGTTATTGGCAGAGAGGTTTGGAACTCTTTCTTATTGGTCTATTAACTAATTTACCGCATGGTGATGTCACCATGGAAGGACAAAACTCCATCCCACCAAAACAGGCTGAAATTTCAGTCAGTCTTTTCAAACAGCTCTTACACTAAAAGGGCATTATCATCATTTACACAATTTGACAGTATTATTCCAACCTCAGTGTGGAAATCAAACACAGGAAAATGACATTTTGGACTGCACTGGGCCTTTAATAGCTCTCCTGGACGGTTACCTGCAGACATTTCTTTAAAGCCGCAATCAGCCATTGAAACAATAACGAAGCCTATTCCCTGTTTCGGTAAGAAACTGAAGGAGGGGACTGAAGAAATGTAACCACTCTCAAGTTAATAGACAGAGCTATGGGAGCAACAACTGACCATCCATGACATCAAAATGTTACACCTGCAAATCTGTGTTCACGACAAATAAACTTTTGATTTGGTCCCGGTTTCCAATAAGTATCTTAAGGCTAAGTTTATCGTTAGAGCCATAGGATCCTATCCGATGCTTTTGGGAAACCGGGCCCTGTTCCATTCTATAGATGCTGTGTATAAGAAAGTAACGTTACAACCGCAAAATCCACATTAGTACTAGCTAGCAAACGTACTTACCTCCCGTGTCACTTGATGTTAATGATATAGTGATTATGTACATTAACATTGTACACAACCAGCAGGGCAAAGAAGTCTTCATATCGGCAGGTTAAAAGATATAGCTAGCTAGCTGCAGACGCAGACGCACCTTTATGATGTGGAGGAAGTCTCTTCTTCTTCAACGAGGTTTAACGGCGGTTGGCATCCAATTTGTTGCATTACCGCCACCTACTAGACTGGAGTACAACTCCCCTTATATTTTGTTTGAAAAATTAAATAAAGAATACCCTACCATCTAACACTACACTCACTAATTCAAAATTAATATGAATAATTAACACCACCCCACTCCACTATTTAAATATATTCATTCTTACCTCATGCCCTCATCCTGAAATGATGGGACATCACCACTTAACACTCCCTGTAACTCTTCTGATGTCAAGTCTCGCACACCCAAATACCTCTCTGCAGCTGCCACCACAACCTCTATTAGAAAGATATTGTATTCTATTCACATCTTGATAGTGACACACCAATGTGTAATCTGAGTAGGTCGTTATGAGCAAATAAAACACATGAAATGTAAGAAAATTATTGTTGTCCAGATTTAAGGCAGGTAACGGTAATCAGAGTGTAAAATCAACAGTGTTTTTACAGAATGCTATAAAGTCAAAATAATTGTTGGAAAATACTACACCTCAGACATATTCAACTTGTTGTACAACCTCTGCTATATGGTCAAAGAGTGGATTAACGCCTTCTAAATTTAGGCTTTCAAAGATGATCGACAAAAGATGACTAGCTTCTTTTAAAGGACTGTTTGTCACCAATTCAATAGGGCCCATAGTTAACACAATGTTCTATCCATTCCATTTAGCATGTTAGTCTTGAGGTAAGTGTTAGCTTTATAGTAGTGGGGTAGTGGGATAGTGGGAAGGCTAGAGTGTTAGCTTTATAGTAGTGGGGTAGTGGGATAGTGGGAAGGCTAGAGTGTTAGCTTTATAGTAGTGGGGGTAGTGGGATAGTGGGAAGGCTAGAGTGTTAGCTTTATAGTAGTGGGGTAGTGGGATAGTGGGAAGGCTAGAGTGTTAGCTTTATAGTAGTGGGGTAGTGGGATAGTGGGAAGGCTAGAGTGTTAGCTTTATAGTAGTGGGGTAGTGGGATAGTGGGAAGGCTAGAGTGTTAGCTTTATAGTAGTGGGGTAGTGGGATAGTGGGAAGGCTAGAGTGTTAGCTTTATAGTAGTGGGGTAGTGGGATAGTGGGAAGGCTAGAGTGTTAGCTTTATAGTAGTGGGGTAGTGGGATAGTGGGAAGGCTAGAGTGTTAGCTTTATAGTAGTGGGGTAGTGGGATAGTGGGAAGGCTAGAGTGTTAGCTTTATAGTAGTGGGGTAGTGGGATAGTGGGAAGGCTAGAGTGTTAGCTTTATAGTAGTGGGGGTAGTGGGATAGTGGGAAGGCTAGAGTGTTAGCTTTATAGTAGTGGGGTAGTGGGATAGTGGGAAGGCTAGAGTGTTAGCTTTATAGTAGTGGGGTAGTGGGATAGTGGGAAGGCTAGAGTGTTAGCTTTATAGTAGTGGGGTAGTGGGATAGTGGGAAGGCTAGAGTGTTAGCTTTATGGTAGTGGGGTAGTGGGATAGTGGGAAGGCTAGAGTGTTAGCTTTATAGTAGTGGGGTAGTGGGATAGTGGGAAGGCTAGAGTGTAACATCACGGTGACTAAACTAATATGTGTACAGCTGATTGTTAAGCCTCAGATGAGCTTTAAAATAACAATTATCACACTCAAACACAAATAACAAAGTACATCAATTATAATGATAATGAGATAAAATACACTGTTAAAAGAAAATACTAAATACATGGAGACAAAGTGTTGACTGACAAGTTTAGAAGATCATGAAGATGATAGAACAGTCAAAAATAATCGATTGTTGAGTTGAACAAACTTCTCTGTATGAAGCTAGCTTATGCTGGACAGTGTTTGTACAGTGTCCGTATTAGGACAGACACACCTCCTGATGAGACAGACACACCTCCTGATGAGACAGACACACCTCCTGATGAGACAGACACACCTCCTGATGAGACTGAGGCTGTCCTAATATGGACACCGTAAAGGTGTTTTCCCAAAGGCAACAAGGTTAGGTAGCAGGGTTGGGGCCAATCCTATTTAAATTCACCCAGTTCAGGAAGTAAACAAATTCAATTTCTTGTCATTGAAATCCATTTCAGTGTACCTCAGCGCCTAGCCCCAACAACCTTCGATGAGGTTTAACGGCGGTTGGAATCCAATAAATGTTTGCATTACCGCCACCTACTGGACTGAAGTATACTTCACCTTATACTTTGCTTAAAATATAAATAAACAAATACCCTACCATCTAACACTACACTCACAAAACATTTAAAAAATAACACCACCCAACTCCACTATTTCAATCTATTTAGTCCTACCTCAGGCCAACAGCCTGAAATGATGGGACACCACCACTTAACACACCCTGCAACTCTTCTGACGTCAAGTCTCTCACACCCAAATACCTCTCTGCAGCTGCCACCACAACCTCTATTTTCTGCGACTTACGTTCCATCCCTGCAGTACAGTTGATAACCATTGCTATAAACGCTAAAAATCCAATCTTACTGAAACATATATCACTTGTTGGTTTATCCCTCTGTACTGGTACAGATCTACTACTCACACCACTCCTCTCAGGATCCCTCCCCCTTGACCCATCTTCCTCTACTTTCTTCACTGCCTCAGCATATGACAGCTTCTGCACTACTCTAACCCTGGAAACCTCAACCTGCCTCTCTTGCAGGGGACATTTCTGATCCCCAGCCCCATGGGCACCTCTACAATTAACACATACAGTGGGGAAAACAAGTATTTGATACACTGCCGATTTTGCAGGTTTTCCTACTTACAAAGCATGTAGAGGTCTGTAATTTTTATCATAGGTACACTTCAACTGTGAGAGACGGAATCTAAAACAAAAATCCAGAAAATCACATTGTATGATTTTTGGTTGGAGACGTCACAGCCACAGGCCCGCTCCTGGCTTGGAGACGTCACAGCCACAGGCCCGCTCCTGGCTTGGAGACGTCACAGCCACAGGCCCGCTCATGGCTTGGAGACGTCACAGCCACAGGCCCGCTCATGGCTTGGAGACGTCCCAGCCACAGGCCCGCTCATGGCTTGGAGACGTCACAGCCACAGGCCCGCTCATGGCTTGGAGACGTCACAGCCACAGGCCCGCTCATGGCTTGGAGACGTCACAGCCACAGGCCCGCTCATGGCTTGGAGCAACAAGTTGACTCTCAGGAGTTAAATGGACTTGACATGGGGAGAGTCATTGTGGGAGGTTTTGAAAACTAAGTTAGGACATTTTTCTGCCTTTACCTTCACAGCACAGAACACGTTTGTAATCTGAATATGTGCTTCATATTATCACATAGGCAGGAGGCCTATATATTCTCAAATGTGTGTTCTGCTGTAGCCTACATTGATTTATTTTATTTGAAGTTATATTCCGATATTGTGATATTTGTTCTACTGCTACATTGATGTCTTGAAAATTATATGAAATTGGGGTCTTGTAAGCCCCACAGCTGAGTATGTGTCCATATGGTGGGTGTTCTGCAGTGACGTGTAAAAATTTTGCTGTACATTGATGTCTAGAAAATTAGGCTATAAGAAATTGGGACTTGTGTAAGTGTAACGGGGTAATGAAGTTGTTAAAATCCTGCATAAAAATGGGTATTATGCCACCTCCTGGTAGATGAGTGTCAAATACGCTCAGTGATAAAGGTCTGGGATTCTGGGTCGTCCACAGCACATTTATGGAGAATTGCTGTGGGGGAGTTGAACATTGAATTGTCCAGGGTTAGACATGTATGAAGTTGACATTACATCATAACATCCACCTTTTACATCGTACATTAGCAATTTATGTTATTAATAACTACTGTTGTTGGTTTGGCGTCAAAGAAGCCACTCTTTATATGATATTTGACCGAATCTCAGTTTTCCATGTGGGTTTTATGCTAGCTAACGTTCCCTCTTTGAAGTTGGTAGCTAACTCGAAGATGCATCTTCTTTAGGAGTGATATTTATATACTACTGATCATTCATCCATACTGTGTATGTCCCATCATTTGCAGGTAATTTATGACAAATGTATAAAGTATATGTTTTATAAACTCATGAACACCAGCCAGTTTATTAGCCTGGTTTTGTTAGTTTAGGAAAATACGTGGTATATTCTAGGTGTGTTATATTTTCTCACCATTAGAGGGTGACATTGAGTCATTTCAGGTTCATTTTGGAATATTTTGAACGCTAAAATGGATAATAGTTTATTCTGATGTTGTTAAATATGAGATTACACATGGAAACAATGTATTTATCTGTATTATAGTAAATTAGGAATGATTAGAAATGGTTAAATCCACTATATGATCACAATGACCTTAGTAGACGTTTTGATTATTATTATTTTTTTGTATATTATGCAGCAGATTTATGGAGAATTGCTGTGGGAGTGCTATTTACATCCCGTCACTACTGATCATTCATCCATACTGTGTGTGTCCCATCATTGCAGCTTTGGAAATAAATGAACTACCTCCAGACGTGACGCTTGGCATTCAGGCCAAAGAGTTCAATCTTGGTTTCATCAGACCAGAGAATCTTGTTTCTCATGGTCTCAGAGTCCTTTAGGTGGCTTTTGGCAAACTCCAAGCGGGCTGTCATGTGCCTTTTACTGAGGAGTGGCTTCCGTCTGGCCACTCTACCATAAAGACCTGGTTGGTGGAGTGCTGCAGAGATGGTTGTCCTTCTGGAAGGTTCTCCCATCTCCACAGAGGAACTCTGGAGCTCTGTCAGAGTGACCATCGGGTTCTTGGTCACCTCCCTGACCAAGGCCCTTCTCCCCCGATTGCTCAGTTTGGCCGGGCGGCCAGCTCTAGGAAGAGTATTGGTGGTTCCAAACTTCTACCATTTAAGAATGATGGAGGCCACTGTGTTCTTGGGGACCTTCAATGCTGCAGAAATGTTTTGGTACCCTTCCCCAGATCTGTGCCTCGACACAATCCTGTCTCTGAGCTCTA